CATTTTTTTTTTATGTAGTTAAAAGTTTCTGGAAACATTGGTTGCTGCATGTCTTAAATAGTGAGTGTGGTGGCTGAATGCATGGGAAGCCTGGCATCCTGTTTTAGGGAAGGCAGTAGTCCCTGCTAGCCAGCATAATATTCTGGGGGTGGTTTTGAACTTTGAGAGGCTGTTTAAAGCAATCTATCACCTCTCTTAAATGTGTCAGGGTTTTGGGTTTGTTTTTTTTTCTTCTGACAGGCTTTGTCAGAAATAACAAACGTTGAACCGTGGGTATGTGCAAACTTAATTCGCCTCTTTCAAGAAGAAAACACAATTCCTTTTATTGCTCGGTATCGAAAAGAGCTCATCAATAATCTGGAGGCCGATGCCTTGCGAGAAGTGCAACAAACATTGGAAGAGCTACGGTAAGTAAGTTAACACAGGGAGGAATCTAGGGGGAAGGTAAGTAACAACTGGCTGGTGCTTCTGTGTCCCTGTTTTGGCACTTTGTATATGCTACAATTATAAAGGACCTCCCAAAGAAGAAAGATTAAAACTGAGGCAATTTTGCTTGATACCTGTGTGTTTGTTTTTTACTATAAGTAACTAGAAATCTAGCATTATTAATTGCCAAAGAAAAATTAAGATCTTAATTTCTCTGCAGTTTACTAAAACTGCAGAGAAAAAAAAGTCTTAGAAAAAGAGAAGTTTATAGGTTCTGGAGATACGTGGCCTGATTAGATGTAAGCTGCACCCTTAGAAAAAGAATCACTAAGAATCCCTTGGCTCCGTGCTTGGAGCAGCAAAATCTCTACTGACGAGCACTACTTGAGGTTGTAGTGTACCAGGAGGGCAGGCTAAATAATCCCAGACCATTGCAGAAAGAAATAATCAGCAAAGCCTGCTGCAGCTGTGGATGAGACTGCTCTCATTGCTTCTTGCTTTTGGGTGGCTATATGTTCTTGAGATGGCAAGGGAGCAGACTTGCCAGCTGTTCTGTCAACATGGTGTCTTCCTGCTTGTATTCCCTGCTATCCCCTAGCAAGAGATGCTTTTCAAAGAGGGAAGGTGACCTGAGAGCATTCTTGTCTGATCAACTAATTTAAATCATAGCAAAACACCTTTGCCGTTTGCAGTTGCTCACGGATATCTTGTTGAAGGTCTAAGATTTTAAAATCTGGTACCCTGTAGTTGACGCTGCAGAACTATCTTGATGTGAATTACAGCTGTAAGTGCTCATCAATGTGGATTTAACTTAGGGCCTTTTTATTTCGCCTCCAGGCAGGTAATCTTGCAAAAATGTATACAGCAGTAATAACTATCAGTATTGTTTCATGTTTTTTTCTTAAAGCTACCACAAGATATTTTGATACAGTTTTGAACTAGTTGGAGGAAGAGAGTAATAGTTAGAAACTCTTTTGGATTATCAGACTTGGTTTATTGAGGATTAGCATGAGATACAATCTTCAGGGGTTTCAGAGAGCTTCAGCAGTGGAATAAACAAGGTCACAATCAATAGCCTTTTTAATCCACCATGAAATGTGACTATTAATATCAATCTCTTGCATTTTAGTACTGTTGCAAAGAAGACGCATACAATGATACAGAAGTTGAAGAAAGAAGGGAAATTATCTGGATGCCTTTTAACAGCATTATTAAATTGCAGAACTTTGGAAGAATTAGACCATGTGGTCAGTACACTAGTCTTTTTCAGATCATCCTTAGTTTAAATGTAATCTTGCACAACTAAATAGTGGGTAGTGCAAAGTACATAGCATGACTGAAATATTTCCTTACCTTTTATTAACTGTCTTTTTTGTTTCTTTTAAGTCTGCACCTTATAAAACTGGGAGTAAAGGCACCAAAGCCCAGAGGGCCAGGCAGCTGGGATTAGAACCTGCTGCCCTCTCCCTCCTGCAGAATCCTGTGGAACTTAATCTCTTTTCTTACATTAGACCCAATACCAAAGGTAAGTGCTCTGCTTCTGTAAGCAGTAATGCCCTAAATGTCTGAAAATATTTTAAAAGAGGAATTACTTTAATTGTCCTAATGATGCTGGAAGTTATGCAACTATTTTAAATTCAACAGTTCTTTTAGCAACATGTTTACATTTAATGCAATGGCTCTCCAACCCTTCCTGTCTTTTTGTATTGTAAGTAGTAATAATCCTGGTATACAAGAGGCAGAAGTCTGGAGATGTTATAGTTGACATCTATATTTACTGATAAGAGAGGAGGAACTGCGTGGCATACCCGAGACCTCTCCGCCGTTCTACTCCAACTGTTTACTGAAGATTCAACGCTTGATTGTACAAGGGGCTTATGCTCATACTCTGTGCTGAAGTAAATGTCACCCATCAAAGCATATCTTAATAAAAACTGGCCCTGGTGATTGGGAGTGAGTGGGAGTTTTCATTACAGAATGATAGTAGGGGTTGGAGAAGATGTAATCTCTGAAATTTGAGCAGGAACTTTAACGATGTGATTGTCACATATAGACTGCAAAATTGTGTTTCTTTGTGAATGCAGTTATGGGTGAATCTGTAGGGGGCAATCTCTGACAATAAAATAGGAAGATTGCAGCAACCTTCTGTATGGTGTTAAAATAAAGATGTACTTTTATTCTTCCCTGCCCCAACGCTTACTTTTTGAATTTTAACATAAAGGTACTGAACCTCCTTAGTGAGGCGGACTCTTCCCACTTCAGTTGTTGTTTTATTTTACTTAAATATTGTTTATAAAATGATCCTAATTTTGCATTGAAAATCAGTTACCAAATATTCTGATTGTTCAATGACCACATTTTAGCATATATCATTACTTTATACAGCAGTATATTGCAACTACGTATCTGACTATTCTGGCAGAGTCTAAAGAGCCAAAAGAAAATCTTCATGGTGAGAGTTCAAATAAATTATTCAGGGTGCATTCAGAAGGAAGTGCTATTTGTTGCAGTGTAAACATCTTAGTCTTTGAAAATCAGTACACCTATTTTCAATTTTGTGCTAAAAATAATGTTGCTTAGGCTTATGTAATGGCTTTCATTTGAAAGGCTCATCAGAAATTACATACATCCGTGAACTGGGTCACTTTTATCAACTTGGGAGCCAGTTTGACAACCTATATATAGCTTGAGATCAGAGTGAATTTTTTTAAAAGGATGAGCCATTTGCCATACAGAAGAGTTTTCATCAAATCTTAATATTCAGTTCTTTTAAATTCCCAGTGTTTTTAAACTTATACTAAAAATAAACTGAAATAAAAAAAACAGTTCATGTTTCAAAGCCAGATATTTGAAAGCAGACTCACCAGAAAACTTTGTTCTTCCTTTTAGTTGTATGCATGATCAAATATTTCTTTAATTACACAAGCATGTGCTGTTTTTAATGGACACAGTAACATGTCCATGTGAGTGGTGCTTGTTGAATGGGAACTTTTTGATTATTTCTTTAATCCTGACTGGTTTTGGCCTATTCCATCTATTCCAATTCTCTGCTGTTGCCATGTATGCTTCTGGTACTTGAATATCTCAATTCATATTTAATATAATGGATGTTTTATAATTCCCTTAGATTTGTATGACATAACATTACTTTTACCATGAGAAACACTAACTCGTAGATGTAAGGATCCAAACTCCACAACTTCTGAGCGGTTTAGGCATTTAGTAACATATTCTCCCATTTTTATTTTTCTTTCTGGCAGGTAAGTTTAGCTTCCTCTTTTTAAATAAAGGGCAAGATTAATTTTTTATAATGTGTAACTCTATAGCCCAATCAGAAGCAGGTTTCTGGATTAAAGACAACTATTAGAGCTATGCATTTTTTTTAAAATGGTGTTAATAAAGCTCTTTCAACATATTGGTAGTCCATCAGACAGCAGAATGAAAAATAATGTGTATTGAAGGAGACAGTTAATGCTGCATCTGCCAACTCTAGCATTCTTGCTTTTTGCTCTGAAGCATTTGTTACTGACTGTTGCTAGAAACAGGGTTAGATATTTTGATTTAAAATAAAAGATGTCAGTTTTATTTCGTTGCCTTCTGGTTCTGGTCCAGTTCAACCACTGTGCTAAGGGGAATACTGTACCACTACTTCTGGCCTTTTGAAGTGAGGGATGGTTCTGTGTGTGGGAAAACTGAATGATTCTGTTATCAGCTCTCTAGAATACTTTGCGGAGACATTTTATGACTTCACTGTTTGAACAGTGTTTTGTGGGAGAGGATGAGGGTACCCTTACCTCAGAAGTATCACTGTGCAAGCTTCTGCTACAAACCAGTGGAATACAAAACTATTTCTCCGAGAAAAGACAGGATTGCCTGCGAAGATTTTAGGCAGTTTCTGTATCAGTAGCAAAACGTGTAGACTTCTGCTGCAGTTACTCATTTTATTACAACCTCAACAATTGTACTTTAATATCCATGTTCATTGTTGTAAATAATTCACTTGCATCATAAATGTCAAGCTCTGTTAGCATCAAAGTAAAAACAAACATTTCTTTCATTTTAGTGTCATGTTGACTTATGATACTGCATTGGTCACTTTAGGCTTATTTAAAATATAATGGGTTCAGATGTTCTGGAAAGGAAGCTTTAGTAAAAAAAAATTCTAATGAATTAGGATTCTTCATTGAAATCTCTACAAATTAGTCAGATATCTTGCACCAATTTTCTTTCAGCTTGTATAAATTAGTGCTTGTAGAGTTGTGTAAAGTGATTTTTCACATTAGTTTTTTTTATAATTACTTTTTTTTTCCTTCTAAGGACTTTCAACTATCCAGGAAGTAGAGGCTGGAGTTCAACATATTTTAGCGGACATTTTTGCTAAAGATAAAGATACACTGGATTTTATCAGGAAATTGTAAGTTTGACTCTTTCTAAACTTCCTTGGTTCCATGGTAACATTCAGTCTCCTAGGCTGCAGATACATAACTAACTTTTTTTAATGATGTGAAAACAGTGTTACTGTGAGATTGATTTACGTCCATTCCTTCACTTGTGCTGGAGGTACATTCATTGGCCTTTCTGCCTGCCTGGCTGCCAGTGGAGGAGAGACCTGCTGTGAGCATGGCATGATGCTGTGACTCCTGAAGACTGAAAAATTCTCTGTGGCTCTGCTCCACATAGAGCAAATCTCACTTGCAGTTAGTGATCTATAAGGGAAAGCTTTCTCTCCTTGCACTTTCTTCGAGCTATAACTTTCAGAGGTGCATCTGCTTAAGCTGTTGCTCCAGTATTTACTGCTTGACGCTGCTCAGTGTAATTAGGATGCAGTGATGGTTGATTTTGGCATTGGTAGTCAATAAGACAAACAAATATGACTTATTAAAGCAGGAGTTACCAATCCTTTGACTGCGTTAACTGAATTTAAGTTTTCTTACATTACATGACTTCAGGGTTGTCATGTCTGAGGGGTTGGTATGACAGAGTAATAGTTGCTTGTTATTTTTTTCCTTTGCTGTGTACCATCTGGTACAGAGAACAGGGTTATAAAAGAACAGGTGCTGCCTTTGGAGCGTGCGGTGTTGGTTTGAATCAGCTCAGTGCTGTTTAGTTGACTCTAGTTTGCTGTTTATTGTGAGTAATGGCCAACTTCATCAAAAGGCTAGAGCACAGCAATGTGGTGATTTCAATGAAGGGGTTGTTTTGTAAAGGATGTGCTGTCACTACCAGACTATTGCTTTCATTCTTTTGACCACTGGAAGGTCCTCAATTGGATACACAGTGCTCTACAGATGTATCCTGTTGATTTAAAGTGTGTTGTATGTATAATAATCATCAGGAGCGTTCAGGAAGCTATCTGTTTGGGATCCCTCCTACTCCTAAAAATAATGAAAACTTTTATGGGTGTTAAGTACTCAAAACAAGAAATTAATTCTGAGGCTGGATAGGTACAAGAGAGAGAGATGTTGCCTTTGTATAAAATAGATTACTCTAAGTTTTTTGCAACTTCCCAAAATCTGTTGTGTGAAGTTGAACCAATAGCTGACCAGACTGAAGTGCAGATGGTGGCTTTTGAGTATCCATTCCCTTCAGATGTGTTCAGCTTTTTCTGTGGTCTGCTTGAATTTCTTCTCTTAGTATAGTCCAGTCAGTATGTGTTATGTCAGTCTCAGCATTAAGCTATGTAATACAGTTCTGCAGTTATAGTTAACATAACTTGTAATTGGGCAGACTCCAAACTTCGTGTTTTATTTAAGAAATGGACTAATGACTTGTTACAAGTTTCATGCTGAAATACCTTGTAAACATTTATTTCTTTTATTCAGATGTCAGCAAAGGTACATTTGTATCCAGTCAGCCTTGGCAAAAGTGTCATCCAAGAATGGAAATGAAAAAGATATTGATAAATTCCAACTGTACCATGAGTTTTCTTGTAATATAAAGAACATTCAGCATCATCAGGTACAGCTACAAATTTGTATTTTTTTTCTTAGAATTCTAACTATAGCAAAATGGATTTGCTTTGAATTATGTTGCTTAAAACTGATTCTGAAGATAATTGATTTTGCTTTTCAGTTATCAAAGGTAATAGAAACTTTCAAATTCTTGAAATGCAGGACTAAGCTGTTAATCTCTGCCTTAAGAAATTGAGCAAAGGGCTTCTTATTCAGTATGCTCATTGTCTAATTCTCATTAAATACTTATAATGATATATGTATTGGAGATGTCAATACTGGTGTGATTTATTTTCAGCATATGTCATGCCCTCCCTTTTCCTGGTGACAAGTGCATAGCAAGTGTTATCAGGAGGGGGATAAAGGCTAAGCGATAATTTATGGTCTGTAGGGGTGAGACTGGTGTAGTAGTGGCATAGTAGTGGAAGTTGCTTGGTTGGAGCATGTGTGAAGCAAACTTGGATAAACTTACTGTTTGTTTCTTTTGGATGTTTGCTGCAGCATTGAGAGTGCTCTGAGCCATTTGACACTAAATCTGTCAGGTGAAACTGGTGAGAAGTATCAGAGAAGGATCCAGAAAAAAAAAATTCGAGTTGACCTACAAAAGCAGCTCATGGGAATGTCCCATATACTACCCCAAAAATGTGTTTGTTTTGCAAGTCATCAGTATTTCCTTCTGTGAAGCATCTTTGGTCATCCTAAGCCCCAAGCCTACACCTACATTAGAAAAAGAAATAAGGGATGAAGCAAACTTAGTAGCTGATGAGAAGCAGATGAGTTGATAGCTAGGTTGCCTCTGTTATAGAATTTCAAAGGCTGAAGTGTTATGCACTCAACACAACTGTCAGGACCTTTGTGCTGATTCATAGCTAATCACCTAGTGAATTGTCTCTTGGTTTTGTCAATTACCTAGCTTGAAAAAACTAAAAAACAAGCCAAAACAAAAAAAACCGCACCAAAAAGACCCTCTCAGTTGCTTTCAACCAAAAAATAGCTTTTTCCTTTAGAAGATGGCCTTATTCTACAGCTGAATGATTTTTCTTTTGTATCTATGAAATGCTTTCATTTTCTCTCTGCTTGCTATTTTAAAAGTGTGATGTTTTGACTTAATAAAGGATTTTCTTCCATGTCTTGAAATGATGATATTACAAAAAATAGAGCAATCTAAGACTACTGTGGAGACGCAGTAGTCTTAGATTGGGGGTTGGAACTAGATGACCTCTGAGGTCCCTTCCAACCCAAACCACTCTATGATTCTATGACATATCACAAAGATTGGTAGATTCATCAGGAGACTGTGTTGCACTGTATGGATTTTTTTTGTTTGGGTGCTTCACTGTTGAGTGAATATTTGGGCTGTCAAAGACACTTTAGTTTTTCCTGCACTGAAAGTGGTGAATACTGAGATATGCGATGTGTATTGGGTATACAAGTGTTTCCTGGGATGATGGTATGATTTACTTCTTGTCTGAGGCATTCTTTTTCATGTTTTACATAAGGAAAACTGTTGCTGAGGTAGAAACCAGATTTCCCAAACGTGGTCAGCATTCTGACTATGTGGCTGCACTGTTTCTTATCTAGAATGTGTCCTTAGTTTGTCTGTTTGATGTTAAGATTAACTTGATCTGTTTTGGTTTATTTCTTCTTGTGTCTGTCACTAACCTTAATGCTTCTTCTTTTTCCCATTCTGGCTCTCCAGTGAAGTAATAACCACTGTTCTTGCAGCTGGTAGTCCTGCAATCATGGGATGTTTTTGCACTCTTACGTGTTGTCTTCCATCTGTATATTACTGCTATTGGCTATTCTAACATGTTGAATAATTCCCTATTACGACTCTTAAGAGTTGTTTGTATTTCACTGAGGTTTCAGGCCCAGGGTATGTCAGGGCTCTTTTGTACTAGCTGAGGAAAAAATGCATTTTATGATCATCTGACATGTGCGGTTTGCAGAGTTCCCTGTTTTGTAAATATACTGTAACTTCTCAATTCTGTTGATTTTTGGTTCTTGATTAGTTTTCCAGTTCCTTTCTTTGTCTCCCTTTTGTGTTTTGATGGTGAAATAAGGAAATTAAAAGTGTGTTCTCTATCTGCCATTTCTTCCTTAAGCCTAAACCCCTAGTACTGTACTTTTGAAAGTCTTTCTCATAACCCTCAATTTCTTTATTACCTGACCTTACTACCCTGCCAAAGCAAATTACTGTTTGTTTTCTCTTTTCTTGTTTTATAACCATCCTTTTTATTACCAAAAAATCTTTAGTTTCTTCTTCACCTAAGACTTTGAAGAAATACTTCTTCTCTGCATTCAAAAAGCTGGTTAAAAATGTGTTCTTGAATGTGCTTTGGGAGAGGTGTACATGTCTTCAAGTGAAGAAATTCTGTAGTTTGGTTCAGGATTTTTAAAAGGAGCTTATATGTAAAAAAGATACAGGTAACCCTGAAACTCAGAGGGATTGAAAAAAAAATTACTAATCCCTCAGGACTGCAGGTTAAATAGCTGTGTTTGAAGAACACTTGCAAAATCCACTGTTTTGAAGACCTTCTCTTTTCCTTTGGTGACTGCACAGACAAGTATTCTTAATGCATTTAGCTAGAGGCAAAAGTAGAAGACAGCTTTAAATCACCTCTTTGCAGAGTTGCAAATAAAGGATTCCATAAAACACTGCACTGAAACCAGTCATTGCCATGAGTATGGAAGCGCTGGTAATCTTAAAGGTCTGTGTACAACCTGAACTCTGCTCTAGCTTACATGTAAGTAAGGGGACGGGCAGCAGACAAGCATGTTACCAGTAAGAGGATAAGCTGTGTCTTTATGACCAAAGCATTTGTAGCCATGAGCATGTCTTGCAGCTTGTAGTAGAACGAAGTAACTGGTGTGCAGTACACTGCAGCTTGGTTCTGCAGCTGTCACTGGACACGCTGTAGTTCTGGGTGACTTTCTGTGCCATTGTCAGTTTGTGTGTTGAGACATGCCATGAAATTATCAGGACTGCTGTGGAGTCAGGTCATTTGACTGAAAAAGCTAAAATACTGAACCTGAAATGAGAAAAAAAATTCACTTGTTTAAAAAGCCTGACTCCAGATTTTGACATAATGGGATACCTGTAGGTGTTTCCAGCTGGACTATTTTGCTGTCGGGAGGTTCAGCCACAGTTCCTTCCTTTGGCAGCAAGGAGAACCTGACTGGACTCTTAGGATGTAGTTGGGTAGCTATACCAACACTGTCATAACGAAGGAAAAAAGTCTTTCAAGAGTTTATTTGAATTTTTGACTAATTGTAAACAGTTCAGTGTTTGTGTATGCCTTGGGGTTGCTTTCCTCTATTTGGAGATGACCAAATTGGTGGGAGGGAAAGAATTCATGAATAAAGTGTAATGTTTGAGGCAAGTGCTCTATTTTCAATCTCGTACTTAAAGGAATGGGAAATTAAAGTCCTTGGCAAAATATACAAACCTTATTCAGTGAGTTTAAGTAAATCTGGAACATAGAAGAGAGCTGTGCAATGTGAAGGATGTTGTATTTTTCTACTAAACAGAATAAGGTTTGATAAATCTTGTGACTAGATCAAATTATTGTTCTTGCTTTCTCTTAAAAAATGTATGTTGTTTTTATTAACCCTTCCCCTGGATCTGTTCCAGTCTTGCATAAAACCAGTCTTTCAGTCTTTCTCCAGAACTGAAAGCTTGCTTTGAGTATAGAATAGCTGTATTTGAACCTGTTACTTAGGGGAGGAGGAAAAAAAGAAGAGGGGAAAAAAAAACCCAACAAACAAAACAACCCACCTTCTATATCTTAGGGAGAGAAACTCAGTAATTACTTTAATTGATCATTTCCTGTATGGTGGTGCTTCTCTGAAGACGTGTCATGTAGAACAGGATAGGCAGATTGTTTAAGAATAAAAATGTAAAAAATAGTAGTGACTGCAATACAGCTGGTTTAAGTTCAGGTGACTGACACATTCTGCAAATGGAGTGCCAGGGAACAAAATGTGATGCAAATATTGACCCCGCTAACAGTATGCTGAATGATGACATTATAATTTTATCAGATACATTCTCTGTGAGCATCATTTTGATTTCATTTTAGTTTGACATTTAAGTTTCTCTCTTTTTTTTAAATAAAATCAGAATAAACATGAAAGCATTTGATTTGTTAAAATGTGTCTTTCTAATCTCTACATGAAAACATTTGCTTTGGCAGTCAAGGTACCAGATGCTATAATATTTCACATGCAATCTTTATTATTAGCTTTGTTGTTCAATGATATGTCAGGCCTGGTATGTCACAGGAGCAGTAAGGCTGAGGAATATAAATTGGTACTATGTCCTGGAGTCATTTTAAACCATTGTATTTAACATATGTGACATGTCTGAGTTAGCTAGTGATTGAATTAAAGTTCATGATTGACACAGAATGCTCTGTTGTGACAGTGCTCAGGGCCTGCTACATACAGCAACATGTGTAGTCATACAGGAATGTCAACTTCTAGCAGGATTTTTTTTTTTTTGCACTTGGAAGTATTTTAAAAGGGAAAATGAAATCTAAAGACATGATTTTTATTTGTAGCTGCTTCTAGCTGTTATTCTGTTTCTAAAATCTCTTGACTGGTGAGTTTTCTTAATAAATACTGTAAGGATTGCTTCAGATGAGCACTCATCATGCTCACAGAGAGGTTAGTATAGTAAATAACCACCAGTATCCTCCAGGATCCACCACTCATGTTATGATCTTAGTTTTAAATGTAGAGCCACAGACTTCCATTTAAAAGAGAACTCTGTGCAGATAGCATGTGTGCAACCAGATGTAGCTTTAGATCATGAACATGCAGTTGTGTACACAAGACTCTGCCAGAAATACATATTTTAATACATTTTAAGGCTGGAGTGTTAATATTAACGTAAAGAGCGTATCTACAGTATTTTTGGCTGTTTATGAACTAGATGTGAATAAGTCAAAAATTCATGCTCTTTCCAATTAGGCTGATTACCTTTTGTGTCACAAGTTCTGGTTAATAATTAATTTTAAATTTGGATTCATCTTGGGAAGGAAAATGAATCCTGAAGCTTAGGACTAACTTTTTCCCTTTCTGATCTCTAGTTCTGATTGGAATCACTTTTCAGTTCATTTCTTGAGTTTTAATTTGGGTTATTAAACAAGATTATTTCACCAACTACATTCATGCTGACTTGTATTATTATAAGCATGTGTTTAAGATAAACTGGATCTGAGATTGCAGGCTCCAGGAAAAATGTATGATTTGCTATGCCACGGCATGATTTAATCTGTGTTTAAATTGTGGATGTTATCTGTACATGCTAGTACTTTTTGAACTGATTTACTGTACCACCATCATGATTTGCTACAGAATGTCAAGCAAGCGCATACACAAATGTTGATAAGTTTATCTTTTGGATATTTTGTGTGTCATCTGTCTCTGCCATTTATGTTTGCACTCAGATTCTGGCCATTAACCGAGGGGAAAATCTGAAGATCCTGACAGTGAAGGTCAACATTCCTGACGGGGTGAAGAATGAATTCTGTTGGTGGTGTGTCAATGAAAGGTCTGCGTGGATACATATTCTTACAGAAATTTTTTTTTTTATAGACAGCTGCATACTGAAATGTACCTCATGTCTTGTTACATTAAGAGAACAATTTAAACGAATACTTATTAGATTAGATGAAATTAGTAAGTGGATAATTCTTATTCTGTATTTCCATCTGCTGTAGCATTATGCTGAAAAGATCATGCCTTTGGCCATATTTGGGGAGTTCTGGCACCATTTTCAAGCAATTGAATTTTTTTTAAAATTTTGGTAGATTATTTCTTACTAACTTGCTCTTACAAGTTGCTTTTTTAAGCCTGTAGTGAGATGTTTAGTGTTGCATAATTTTGAGGGTTTTTTGCAGAAATTTAGGTTAAATATATGTTGTTTTGTGCAATATCTCTGTCAGTCTTTTTCTTGGAAACTGCACCTTGATGTCTTCTGTTGGAGAATATTGTGATTCAAACTGTGCATCTTCCTTGCACGTGTATAGAAGACCGGTTTCTCTTTCTCAGTAGTTTGAGATATTGGGCGTTGTTCTGAGGATGTCTTAGAAACTCCTACCTTTGCATGCTAAAATTGAATAACCAAAAGGAGGAAAAAAAGATAGGAGAAGATGCACTTTTAAAAAATGTGTAAAATTGTATACTGTGATTCTGGTTTAGCATGTATTTTTTTATTCCATGTCAAGTCCAAGAAAGGGATGTGGTAAAAATCTTCCTAGTCACTGTAGACGTTTAATAGTTCTGTTTTCCAACATGGAAGCCTCTGAAAGAGTTAAACTGTTGTTTGGCCAGATAACATAATATGATCTAAGACTAACAGTAAGTAACTGTTTTCAGTAAAGTATCAGGATTGATAAACACACCGAAGTTTCATTCTAGTCTTAATACTTGTAACAGAATTTCTGTCCTCCCCCCAAGATGTATATTCTGTAGGCAGAACATATCTGTCAGTCTTGTTTTTACTGCGTCTATGACAGAATTTGGAAGCACTGTGAGCCACAGATAATGGAACAGCTTGTCACTGCTACACAAATGAAAGTGGGATGTAAATTGAGATATTTTTGGCTGATTACACTTTTGTGAGTCATCTAAGATAAAAAGAATATTGACCTTGGAAATGGAACTACTTATTAATACTTAGCATTCATGAGGCTATATATGCTTATGGCTTTTTACTATTTAAGGACAACTTCTCCACCATCAGAAAACTTCAGAAGGAATGATTTTAGTAGATCTTGTTGCATTAACATCTAGGACAGATTCTGATCTTTCTCATTAGATTGACAACTGTGTTATCAAATTGACAAATAGTAAATGTGCGTTCTGCCCTGCAAGCTTGGAAATGACTGCCCAAGGGTGAGAGTTACATTATTTTCATTGCATCGATTTACTGTTGAGAGCAGAAGGTTAAGAACTTTTGTTTGAGGCATGGATGTCAAAACTTTGCAAAGGTATTAACTAATTTACCGAAGGTCACACACAAAATCAGTTGCAGAACCAGAAATGCTGTGTTACTACAGAGTTTGGCCGCTATTCCAGCCACAAAACAGTATCACCTACTGCCTATTCAATTAGTAGCAAATATTCTGACGTTTATGTGTTCTTCTGAGGCAATTTTTTAGCATTAAATGCCCCTGCAATGGAAAGTGGGTTTGGAAGACTGGAGTACTTCATTAATGCATTGAGATCCATGTAGATGCTCTCTAAGATGACTGTATTTTCTTTGCAAGTTCAGAATATTCATTAGCCTGTAGAAGCATCTATATTTTCTCAAAATTCAGGTTTGTGCTGAAAACCAAGGAATATCCTTATGCCTGGCCATATGGATTGTATTTTTCCCCAGAAGACGGCGTCTCTGTGGTTTGACAGTGAACTTAGCTCCATTAACACTAGAACTGCACTGGTCTCAAAGGCTTAGTTGTGAAGTAGGACACGGGAAAAGGATTGGTGAGAAACAGCTGGAGGGGGGCTGCTTAGCTAGCTTTGAGTGTAAAGACAACACAGAGTTGTTCCTTGGGAAGGAGCGAGAGTTTTTTCCCAAGTGGGATCGCAGCCTTGAAAATTAAGTCCAGTTTTTGATAATGTTTTTTCAGTTTTCAGAAAAAAACTTTCAGATCCGATGTGAGGTCTATGGTACAGGCCTTAAAGGCATGTTTTGTGGGTGGTTACTTAATACTAATTAATTAATACTAGTGACTCTTAATGTGGGCTGTCTTAATTCTGTTGATGTATAGCTTCACCCTCTGAGGCGTATCAGTAGTCTAAGCCATTTATGCTTATGGTGGACCCTGTTATAAGCGCGCATGTGCAGAGAGCTGATGAGCTCAGTAAGATGATATTATTTATATGGAGTTTTTCCTAAATAGGGCTTCATTTAAAGGGCTTCGAATGTCAGCTCTTGATTATTTAATCAAGAAAAATCTGTTCTTAGAGGGAAGCTTAACTAGGCTTTCATGATCTTTAAAATTATACACATATGCTTTTGCTTTGTTTTCTGCAGTGAAGTGGATTTTTCTTTCCTTGTGAAGTATTGGAATGATTAAAATGCAGTATTTGCTGTGATTGAACCTACTGTTTGAGTATTTTTGCATTTGTAGCAATTTTAGGATTTCTACATTTTTGCTTGTACATAGGTAATAAAAATATCTGCTGTGATAAACTATTTAGAGAGAAAAGGTTTGCTGTCTAACTTTAATGGATGCGAGAGAGGGGGAAACAGCTGCCACGTTTCCAAATTCACTCTTATTTGTGCTGAGGATACTTCCAGGGGGAGTGTAGTCATACTCACCACCTGTAAAAACTTTGTGTTTATAGAATTGGATGGCAATAAGGAGGTTTAAAGGCTCTGCCAGTTTTATATAGGTATGGAAAGAGTCTCTAGTTACAAATAAGTATAATAGAACTATTTGCAAAAAACTGTTAGCAAAGCAGTGAGGTCATGTGGCTAAGCAGTCACAACTCTGGATGTTGTAAAACTAAATGGTAAGCTTAATTCTGCTCCTATGTCTGTCTATGTTTATGCAGTGTTGACTTGATCACACATTTCTCAACTATTATATGTGCAGACACTTAGAAAAGCTGTTTCAGGAAATTGTAGATCCCCTTAAACATCTGAAAAGCTGTCTGAGTAGGAGCAATTTAGGATTCTCAGTATTTCTGAGAGTGCAAGTAAACAAAGTCAAAAGTAAATTTCAGTCCTGTTTTTACCTTGGCCTGCACCTGGACACATAATCATATGGCCATAATTCTATCATCTTGCATTTAAAAAAAACAACCACCAAACAAAAAAAAACCTTACAAAACTTACCCACACATTAAAAAAAATAGGAATGTATCTTGCTTTGCAGTTACGGACCCAGGCATGTTAAAAAAAAAAACAAAAAACTAAATGTTATCAATATTTTTAAAAGAAATAACAAACAAGTGGGCTGTAGTAGAAAATATTCATAGTCTTTACTTCTGTTTGAGTATAATATATCTGGCTGCATCTTTCTACTTAGAAAAGGGAACACTCCAAAGAGGTTGGCTGAGAAAATGTTGGGAAATAGCATTGTGTTTATTTGGGATTACTTATTTTTCCCTTTTTGCTAGAATATTATTTATACTTTAAATATATCAGCAACAGGTAAAAGAGAAGAATAGTTTGCAAATTGTTTGGGTTTTGTTTGTTTTGTGGTTTTTTTTAAGAACTGCTGCAAAATTGATAGATTTCATTGAGTTTGTATAGAGATACTCAAAGCATTCCAAATGAGATTTGAATTGGGTTTCATTGACTTAGTTTAACCCTTGTGTTTCTATCTGGATGCAATTGCCTTAAATCAGTAGTTCTGCAGTGACACAGATGATGTTTAGTCATTTTTTATGTATCAAGGAATATGCAACTGTAATAATAATATGGAACCAAGTTGTTCATTCAGTTTGTGGTAAGCTTTGACTTCTCAAAGTGAAGACCAACATTTTTATTTTATATTTTCTCTAAACTATAAAATATGATTGCATTCTAATCCCTAACAAAAAAAAATAGGACTTGTCCCTTGTCTGAAAGTAGAACCATGAGCAACTTCTCATTCCATTCATATTTGAAGCTATGATTCCATTGCCTAATTATTGTAGTAACTCTGCAGTAACTTATAGGACATTACACTCAATATAGAAGTCTCTTTTTGAAAATTCCCTTTTTATCTGCATTTATGCATATGTTTTTAATTTTTTTTATTTTTCTTTTTATATTCTCTTGCAGATGGAGACCCAAACAATTTTTAAAACCAGAATTAATGAGGATACTACGGAATTCAGTAGAGGATGCATATAAACGCCTTATATATCCTCTCCTCTGTAGAGAATTCAGGTAAGCCCAGAATGAATGTGTATTTTCATACTACCAATTTCTTAACAATTCCCTCCCCAACTTTTAATTAGAATATCTTTTATCCATTTGAAAATATCAGCATGTTTTTAGTCTTGGTTCTGTAGACTTGTGGCCCTATTCAGTTTAGGCTACAGTAGAGAAATGATCTTTCTGTGAAGACGTTCTATATGTTTAAATATTTTTTGCTTGTACATTTATCTAATAAAGTACAGTTTAGATCTACATTACTATAATAGTTGCATCTTTATCTTTGTGTTAGCATAAATCATTATGTCACTGAATTCTCCCAGCATTTCTTCATGTCACAGCGATAGTACTGTCAGTGACATTGTTCTGACTCCTCTCTGACCTGTCTGAAAGAAACCGGTGAAGTAATTGTTGTGGTTGGAAGTGTCCCTTGTGTTTGTCATCTGCATTTTGTGGCAAAGGAATTAGTCATAGTGTTAGTCTGATACAATTTTGTGGGTATCGTGATGGCTCTGGAGAAGTCAGTAAACTGATTTCTGGTGATACTATAGTAATGATGTCATCAGACAAAGTGTCACTTGTAAGATCTGTAGTATTGTTCTAAATTTAAAGGCAATTTAAAACTTGGTATCAAAGTAACATTAATTAAATAGGGTATCTTCATGGTGTAGTACAGGAGTTTACTACATCATTGAAATGATTTAATATGTCAAAAAGTCTACATGTAAAAGCGTTGTCTTCTAATGGCTAACAGTATTGATGGTGTGATTCTTCTCTTGAATATGAGAGAAGCTCCCCAAAGCCTGATATGTTTGATTCTGGCAAGGCTTTCTGATATGTGACCTAGATGTTAATACCTGTTTTGAGGTAGTTCAAATGTAGTTTATCAGAGAGAACCTGTTTCTTGGACCAGAAATGTTGAAATTACTTGTATCAAAATGACATGTGTTGGCTATTCAGTACCTAAAATCAGCAATCACGTTCTGAAATGTAGTACTTCTGTACCTGCCTGGCTGTGCTCTTATGTTTCTGTTCAAATTCGAGCTGTTTTCCTGGTACTCTTTTTCCTGAGCATCATTGCCTGGATGTTCTATGTTCTCCCTTTCTGAAAAGAACTGTCAGTTAAAGTTTTGAACAGCAGATAATGGCTTTTGGGTTTCTTCAGAACGGTATGTTGTGTTTGCTCATTACATTGCAAGCAAGATCGCTTCACCTCTTTTGATTAGTGACCCTGAATTTTGCTACTGTGAATTTCACAGATTTTTGAAAGTGCTGAGTTCACTTACTTTTTTGTGACCACAGTACATGTAGCTACTTCAGGGGAGGCACTGTGCCTATTGTTCGGCTGAAATGATGAACATCTCATGATGGTGAGTCCAACTGTTGGCTTCTGTCACGTGAGTGTGAAAGTACTTGTCATTCCTAGTCTTTTCTACAATAAAACTATTCTAAATAGAGAAAAAAGACTTACCATTTAGTGGGGTTTGGTTTTATCATAAATAGGCAAACTGATGTAAGGATCCTTCAAGACTCTTTTGTGTTTTTGCTTCATGGTTCCTCCTACAGGACTGTTGTGGCCTATGTCTCGTGTGTAACACTGAGGGTTGCTGCAGCAGTAGGTTGCTGAAGGCTTTCTGTTCTCTTAATTTAAAAAAAAAAAAAGCTTCCTTCTCTACTACTTCCTAGATGTAACTCACAAGTCATAAATGCAAAGAATACAAAGCTTGCTGCCTGTTCCTGAGTGGATGTCTGCTTATGTTTTACTCTTTGTGATAATTTTGCATGATTGGCTGCATCTGGTTAGGAAAAGCTGAAACATCTCCTGTAGAGAGGAATGCAAAGCACCTGCCAGTAGTATTTCTGGTCTATGACCACTTAACTCTTATCCTTCTTTTTATTCTCTTTCCACACACACCAGAAGCTCATTTTTAGGACTCTTGCAAAGGGCTGCTAAAGTATTCAATACATCCTTTTAGCATTAATATTTCCAACCCACCCCCCACTGTTCTTTTTTTCTTTCTTTTCTTTTTATTATCACTAAATGTTGGAACAGAACACTTCCAAGAGTGTATTGAAATTTCTGGTGCTTCTAGTGATCAGAAGAATGAAACTTGCCAGCAAGACGGTTACCTTATTTATTGTTTAATTTCCTTTCTTCCACTCTGTCAGATACCATAATTTCTTGTATCTGGTATAATAATGTCCAGTGTTGCTTTTGGCTCTTTGAAATACGTTTTATTTTGTTGCAGTACTGCATGGAATGATTCCATCAGGATTTGATGCAAGTGATGTGGCATGGACATATTTTTTAATGGATAATCCTTTCCTAATTTTCCATGCTTTCTCAAAGTGAGTGCTTTCTCTCCCCTGTCTTCAGGGACACAAACATTTCTCTCTATATCTTGTGTCGCACCTGAAGCTAGTTTGCAGATATTTTTCCACGGAAAGGATTGCTTCTCAGACTGTATATGGAAGTGGGGAGTTTTAAATCTCAGTTTAAAAACTGACTCTTATAACACTGAATATAGAAGCTAGTAGGTCATGATTAGGTTATTTGCTTTTATTACAATATACATGTTAGTGATATACAGTCTGAGTGTTTCATGGAGTTCAAAAGAGGGGCTTGAAATTCTGACTTGGTTGATACTTTTTCATAAAGTAGCAACTGAAGGGTTTTGTTTTGTTTTTTACAAAATAACCATTCCTCTTGTGTTTAGAGAGGAGGGCTGCTATCCGCCTCTGCCTTATATCTCTGCCATATTAATGAGAATTGTCACAAATTGGAAAAACATGAAGCTGGGAATCTTGCCATTTGAATGAAGCCAGTAGTGCCCTGAAACAGAGAAAGATATTAGATTGTTTGAGGTAGCTTGATATTTGTTCAAGGATCAAATGACTATCCCAAACTTGAAATTAAGGGCCGGTACTTGGGACAGTAGATCATGTCATTGATACAAGTGTTGAGTGAGAGACAGTTAAGAGAGAAGAGGAGAGGTCTCTATTTGAAATTAAAAAATACAGGATATTATGTAATAGAAAGGACATACGTTATGTTCTCCCTACGCACCTGGCACTTTCAGTAACATTTCCTGTTACTATAAAAGTTTCTGTATATCCACGCCAATTTTAAACATGATTTCCATAAGGTGCACATAACTAATAGCACGTGTTTAGGGGCAATTTTAATTCCTGCACAAGTCTCCCCTCACAGGTGGACTGATGTGATTTGTGCAGTGTGGGAGGACTTGGCCTCGTGGGCAGTAGGGACCCCGTATCTCTGGGACAGATGGAAGGCTGGAACTTGGCCTGTCTCTGTACAAAGCCTCAAGTCCAAGACCATTCAACCTTCCCTTCATTTTCATTTCTATGCATGTATGGTTGAATCTCTGTTGTGCGTGCATGTAGAAGATACCTAAGCCTCACAGCCGTATGGATTTGCTTTGTTTTCTCTGGTCTCTCACAAGTGGCGTCAAATTGTTCTGTCTCTGGACTTTCCCTGGATGAAGCTCATTCTATGGTTTAGGTTATTTTTGTTTAATTTTTTAAGAATGGGAGAAGGATGCTGCAAGACTGAATGATCAGGAAATGAAACGGCAACGGGAATGCAGTGGAGATGAGTGTAAAATAGTGCTTGCGAGGGAAAGTAATTCTCTTTTTATATAGAATGTTATGAGCTCTGAGCTATCCTGACACTCAGGAAAGACCCTTTGGCACTGTGGAAGGTAGCTCCACAGAAATGTTAAGTGCTCAGAAGATAAGATTATTTAGTTAAGGAATAAAGACTAAACAGAGAATCATTGATTTAGTTGGCCCATATGTGGAATATTATTGGCCATTTTGGTCCCCTCACCAGAGGGGGGAGGTAGTAGAAGGATTCATTAGAGCTGGAAAAGGCCCAGTGAAGGGGAACAAGGTGTGAAATAATTTCTATGTGAAGAAGGATTGACTAGGCTATGACACTTGAGCTTGGAAAAGAGAGGACTTAGAGGTGAACGGCATGTGAAGAGTCACATAGGGTTTCTAGGGATAAATTTTTACCCTCTTCCAGTATAAGACATAGGGGGCCATAAAAATTAAAGAATCAGCTTTCAACCAAAAGGTGGCAGCTATTTGCACAGTTTGTGATGAACCTGCAGGACTTGCGGCCAACAGGCTATATGGATATGAGAAATGTGCATGGGTTCAGTTGGACAGTTCATGGATAGTTGGTTACGGGCTCCTGAAGAGACAAATCATGTCAAGCTCAGGAAATACTCTGAGCTGGAGATAGTTGGAGGCTATGACAAGATTATGGGACAGGTATACTAGTGCTGGCTGCTGTATCGGCTCCCTGGGCAGCTGCTTATAGCTGTGCTTGGAGACAGATTACTGGGATAGAGGGACCACTTACCTGACCTAGTGCAGCCATTCCAATATTCTTGTTTTCAGTGGTGGCAATATACAGAGTGTCTGCTCTTTGGTGCTGAGGGCACATTTGAATTACAAAGGAGTCTTGGATTGCATGTATACCCTTCACCATCTCACTTTAAATCACGTCTGTCTTGTTTTTGTATCAAATATACCAAATTAAAAAACATGGGGATATAGGGGAGCCTTTTGCTGTTGCATGCTTCCTTAGAAAATGTTCAATGAATGATGTGTGAAAAAGAATCTAAACCTATCTCCAGACAGCTTTACAAATGAGAGGTAATGAGGACTTAACAGTTCTTTTTGTATCACTGTGGGATGAGACAGGGCTGAGCTGGTGGTTTGGTTGGATCCTGGGCAAACTCAAGTCAGGTTCTTCTTCCATATCTGAAAATTGCTCAGAACAGCTTTGTATCCTGTCATGTCAAATAGCCCTTATGAGGGTTGTATTTCAACTGTTTGTAGCCTGCTTGTGTCATGCATTGATTGACCTAAACAACTTGAGTAATTTCCCCCCACCCCGTTCTTACAGGGTTGGTTAACTGGAATGCAGGTTTTTTCTTCTGTAAAAATAAACCCACTTTTTTCAGTGTTGGGTAAAAGGAAAAGGAGAATAAAAGCCCTGGCTACGCTTTAAGTAATATGAAGGCTTTACTGGATTGCTGTTGCTTGCCTAATTGTTGTAGTTATTGACGATGTAATGCAGCTGAAAATGGCAATGAGTACCTGCAAAAGGGAAAGAAAAGAAAAACAACTTTGTGTCCCCATTACTTTTTCAATTTTGCTTTTTTTGAATAAGATGCCATACCATGACAAAAATACTTGTCCTTATCAGTCATTGTCTTACTGGCCACATCTGACAAATAAGACATCATGTATCTTGTACACCTTCACTCAACAAGACTGATTTGTTCATTTGTTTCTCAAAACACTGCAGTAAGTGTTCTTGCTTGAAGGCATCAAAGTCCATCCTTGGTGCACTAACTCACTTCTTTCTGTTGAAGAATGTGGAAAGAAAAGGTAGGGAACATCATGACCCTGTCAGCTTTCTATTTTGGCTCTCAGGAAGAGGGCTATCCTCCTAGAAAGACCTCAAGTCTACGCACTTCTGTGACTGTTAAATAACGTAATTCGTAGATGAAATTAAATGCCTCATGAGTCATGGTGTATTAGTAATTAATTGGATAGGCCCTCCCAGTTTCTCTCTAGTACCTCTCAGCCTAAATGATCATACTTTTTTTTTGTTGGGTAGTGATTTTTCTCCAGAACTGGGCAGCTGTGATGAAGTGAATCCATGCTGCCTTCAAATCTACTTTTCTTTGCAATTATGGATCAGCTTTGATGGGAAGCTGTTCTCGCTCAAAATTATGAGTTGATGTTTGAATGTTAGTTGGTATGTATATATTCTTATAGCTGTTTCTGTTATACTCTTTATGTTGATTTACTTGCTTAGAACCAGAATGAGATGATCATATAGCTGATCCTTTTTTAAAAAGTGTCAAAAACTTGATTGGAAGTATAGTATTTAATTAAAGATACTGAAAGCATGATTGGAAATAGTCTTACAACTTAGGAACAATTTGAAAGCTAATTGAGGGGAAAATGTTTTTCTTTTTTGCTTTCATCTTTCTAAGATCAAAGTTGACATCTGATGCAGAGAAAGAGTCTGTGATGATGTTTGGCAGAAACCTCCGGCAGTTGCTTCTGACCAGCCCTGTGAGGGGCCGTACTTTGATGGGAGTAGATCCTGGCTACAAACATGGCTGCAAGTTGGCAATTATTTCACCAACCAGTAAGTTTCAATTCCAAATATTTTTGAAAGAGCTGATAAAAATACATTCATTTAGAGGAAAGGATAGTTTCAAAACCTACTTTTTTATTGAATTGATTTTTTTTTTCTTAAGCTGTCAGTATTTTCCATGCATCCTGTCATGCAAATTCCTTTCTTCAGGCTTAAGGTTAAGTTTCTGGCACCTGGATTCCAGTGTCTCCTTTGGTGTTACTCCTCTCTAAAATAGAATTTAAAATCCCTTTTGCCCTCTTGAATACAGGTTCAAATAATTGTGTGTCTCAGTAGTTAGCAGAGAGAACACCTGGCATTTTTATTGTTTAACAAAGAATTTGAATTTAAATACTTCCTATAACTTTGCTTTTTTCATGGGTAATATTTTGGACACCTGGACACTTTATCAGCCCTTTTTGTTTAGCAGTATGTGTGTTAATGTGAGAAGTCAGAAACATTGTATTTGTAGAACTTTTTAGTTCAGTTTTTAGACAGATACAGAACAGAGCCTTTCCAGTTCATCCTGGTCTAATCCAAGGTTATGTACCTCTTTAGGCTCATGTGAAAATGGCTTGTTTTCCTTTTATTTTGTCATTGCTTTTTTTCTGAGAGTATGTCCACCCAGGGTGACTGTAAGGAAAGATGTGCTTAAAATGGCAGTAAAGGTAAGGTAAATGGTTATAGCTTGCATTGCTGCACAAAGTATTGGTACTGGTTAATACAGAGTTATTTGCAAATGTGATAGATGGGATGATGGCAAGAGCTGGCATTGGAGTTCTAGAGCTCCTGGACTGCAAGTCCTGAGACTGCATTCCTAATTTTCATCTCTTTACTGGATCTGTAAAATGTACTAGACTAGAGCAGTAAATCTTCTGCAGTGAATTGCTTTTCTCTTTGATAATATAATACACTTTATTTACCTAATATGACTGGGTGCTCGTTGTTTCTTATGTGGATCTGTCCCCAGGGAACTAGAAAACATATCAACTCATTTTGCTTTGGCAGCCAAAGCATTTTAGTCCTCTGCCCACCATACATTTCTTCTAAGTGGATACAAAAATAAAAGGGAAAGATGGCTTATTAAGAAGCTTTCTTTGTGAATCATCAAATTAACTGTAGTAGTTCCCCAGGATATAGCTTTTGGATCTTTGTGATTTTTATCAAATGGCTTTGCTTTTCATTGTTCTAGGTCAGATACTCCATACCGATGTTGTTTACTTGCATTCTGGTCAAGGATTTCGTGAAGCTGAGAAGATAAAGAGGCTTCTGCTACAGTACAGGTATGCTAAACAAACTTCCATTTATTACTCTTACTAAATGTAATGAAAATTTTCACTATATAAATACTTGCTTTTGAGTGGAACAATGATTTAACTGGAATTATTCTTTTTTATGCAGTTCAGAGCTTATTTTTCTTTCAGTCTATGTTCGTGCTTTTACACTATGTATATGTTTGAAGCCTATGAAATCAAGCCATGGGTATGACTAAGGCCGTATGCTATGAATGTATCCCCGTAAAGCTCTGTCAATCCATTTATTTTTAGGAATAGAAATTAACATTTGGCTAAGGAATAAGTTTAGCCTCACTCTTCCTACTCCATCCCCCACAACCCCCAAACCACACATCGATCATTCCCTCTTCCAAAAGCCACATTTAGTCTTTGGAAAACTTCTATAAAGCAAAGGAAATCCTGCTCAGGTAGATCTCCAGACGGACTTGCAAATAGGGGCAGCATGATTAAAGGGTTATTGTATCCAACTGTTTTGGGATCCCCTGTGGACAGACATCTGGTCCACTGAGTCAGCTGCTGCACTGCCACAGCATACAGTCCAGTTTGTCTTTAAGCATTAGACTGGCTTTAAACAAGGTGATTTGATGGCTGACTGGCTGTGGTGGGGGCACTTGGAGGCAATGACCTTGCAAGCTGTTACAAACTATGATGTTCCCATTAAGGAATTAAGATTCTGATTGCTTGGGCTTCTGCCCTTTTTCATGACTCATAACAGATCAGGGAAATACGAGGTGAAAAGGTTTGAGGACTGTAAATAGCATTGCATTTCTTTTCTGAATAGGAAGTATCATTTTTGATTTTTCTGCAGATATTACCACTGTTCAATTCCATTGCAAATGAGTGAAAATTTTGACTTGTGTCTTGAACTATCACATTGAAAACCTATTAAGCACAATGTGATATTAGTAGGAATATGTTCTCATTAAATCTGAACCTTGTGTTTTATAAAATAAGATGTATTGGTCATTGTTGTGCATTGAACGCTATGTACGGAAAAGTCTAAAAGAATAATTAAGAGTAATTGTTCATCTTTTTACCCCATGCAAAGCTGTAGCACTGTGGTGATTGGCAATGGCACGGCCTGCAGAGAAACAGAAGCTTACTTTGCTGACTTAATTATGAAGAAATATTTTGCACCACTGGATGTTGTTTACTGGTAAGATTGCTTTGCTTGCTGTGATACTCATCTGTTCAATGTATTTTAACTTAGCAGGTAGTTTTAAATGTAATTTTTTTGGACGTGTTTCTTTTTATTGCCTTGTCTGTCTTTTTTGAGTCAAGCTTGACTCATCCTTCTCGCCAAAGGAAAATGGCTGTTGCTCCTTGGAGCATGAAAGTAGTTCTCCCGAGTCAGTAAGAGAGACTCACTGAAGCATTTTATTTTCTCTTCCTGAGGCTTGCTCCATTGCTATTATCATTGCAACAAACGTATGTGAGAATAGCAGCTCAAACAGCCAAGGACCTGTATTTTGGCATTGTGTGCTCATTTCTTGATAAATGAGGTTTAAATGCAAATTATAAAGCTTGCGTTGTCTGACTATGGTATGGAATGCTTGCTAATCCTATGGCTATTAAATTGTCTGGAAATAAATATTGTGTTAATACCTAGCAGAAAATAGTGAAGGTATTTATCCTCTTTAGACTTCAAATTTTATCCATTAGTTTGGTGAATTCAACCTAAGCCATTCTGCTGTTGGTTTGGGTTGAAACTGTGCTATATCACTTTCTTTTCTCCCGTGTAGAACTACTCATTTGTTGGTTGTGTTTTTTTTTTTAATTCACCCCTTTGTTTAAAGCATTTTCAGTCATTTACCTTGGATTATTTTTTGTGCTGAAGTTTAACAGCAGCATTTACTTTTCACTGTCTTAACATACTGAAATAAGTTATCTAAATTTTTAAAAAAGTTATGGCCTTTCTCTTTTCAAACTACTATATACATTTAATGGAGCCTTTTCTCCATAGATTAGGAAGTTATCTTATAGAAATGTTCAACTAATGTATTATTCCTACTAACTTAGGCTATCATTTAATTGCACTTGTTCTTTGTTTTGAAGATTTCTAAGTAAATTTGCTCAAGATGTGATACATAATTCTCCTTTTTATTACATGACATATAGTAGGGTTTTTCTGACTTTAATTGTTTACGAATGAAGGAGGTTGTTTAAGCTTCTGAGAAATTAGTCATCCTCTTTCCTGAATTCAATTAAAAACTAGTGGATTTTTAATGATTGTAGAGAATGGAAAACACTTCATACTGTGTGGTTTTTGGCAAACGTTTAATTTCACTGTTGTTCACTTCATATAGTTTAAAAATCCATTATGTTGACATAAGCACTTTGAAAGAGTAATAGTAATTTTATTTATTGATTGATCATATACTACAAAATATAAATAACTATTTAGTTTACAAAATGTAAACTACTATTTAGTTTAGTATTATTTATATAACACTGTGGTGGATGGTTGTCTTGCTGTGTTTTACTCTTTTGCTTTAGTATTTTTCTCCCTGTTTATAGTTCAAGATTACAGAATTTGCAAAATAATTATCAGTATTGGGTTTTTTTGGCCAGTAGAGCTACCAAGTTCTTGGAACTGATAAAAGCCCTTGTGAAGTAGGAATTAGTATAAATGCTTTAAGGCAGAAGTCAGGTTATTAAGGTGGGTTTTTTTCTAGTAGTGACAGATAATTTTTTAACATTTTACTTTTTCCAAGACTTGTTGTGATATTTGTAGGAAAAATATATGAATGCAGTTGTTTAACCTGGCACATTAATTCCTGGAAGTGAAAATTAGCATCATCGAAAGCATTTTTGCTTTCAGAATGTATTTATATTGTTAATGGTTTTCTTGCGCTGTGCTCATATATGGTGAAGAGCTAGTCCCTACTTCAGAATTTGTATGCAGAACACTGAGGTACTGCATATTAAAATAAAAATCAGAAGAATGTAATTAATTTTTTTTACTGCATACTATAGGTGACACTTGATGCTGTTGAACTTTGCAGACTGCTGTTTGTATGGGCATTTATGGATGTGGATTCATAAATAAGCTGGACTTGCAGCTGGACTGTCACATTTTGACACTCTTGACTGAGTTTTTCTTGAAGATTAGGGTTCCTACATTGCCCTTTCTGCTAAACTAGTTCTATGTGCATCTCATTTCATTCTCCAGTGTGGGCTTTCGCAGACATGCTGCTGAATCCTGCAAGATAGCTACTCTGCTTTCTAGCTCCAGAAAACTTTCTCCTTAATCTCCTTGGTATTTCTTAGTAGCAGAAAGGAATGGTGAGTCCAGACATGTACCCTCCCACTTTCAATAATCCAGTGAAATGCCTGAAATTTGTCAGTCTGAGTTCAAAAATGTAAGTGATACTTGCTAAATGAGGAGCAATTAGTACAGAATTATCATTTGAGCAATAGGTGACAGTAGGCATACATTGTGAGAACTGCTGTACCTCTTGAGAGGAACTATGAAAGATGGCTTGGAAGAATGTGCTCTGCTGATCCTCTTTTTTTAAATAAAGTCCCTCAGAGCATGCGCTCTCAGATTACAAAAAAACTTGTGTTTCCATGTACATAAGTCTTCTCTTGATTATGTTTTTTTTCTCATGATAGGGAAAAATGAGGGCTTGCTTTATACATATGCTGAATACAGATCTCCTATCAGTTCTGTGGAAATGCGTGGTATGCTTTTGCATCAAGTGATCTTTATAAATTGTTTTTCAAATCTCTAAGAAACAATTTAAGTAATGTTGGAACAGTTCATTTTTAAATCTCTGCTTCAACAGGTTGCATTTGTAACTAAAAAATGGATTTACAAATCAATTTAGTGTTTGAACTGTGGAAAAAACCCACAAACAACCAAAAAAACAACAAATAAAAAAATCCCAGAACAAAATAAAAACCCTCCAATACTTAAACTGTAAAATACTGTGTCAGTGGCATCTAACACAATACCATTTCCCAAGTATTCAGCTTCTTGCAGTAATGCGCTGAACTGCACGAAGGTGGAAATCCTTGCCCAGCAAAACAGAGCTCATCTCACTCCTATATGCAAGTTCCATAGTAAATACAATTGCCAATTGTATTTACGTTTACAATCTTTTTTCCTTAAAGGAGTCCAAATGTAAAGTGGCTTGGCAGATGAGGCTGGATTGTTTTATAGTCCTTTAAAACCAAAATCCCAATCAACTTCTTAAGCTGTCATTCAGAAAGGTGGCTGATGGAGAGGTACTACAGAGTTCATCTTCCTTGGCAAATAAAGCTTGTAATATGATAGTACTTAAATTTTTTCTTGGAAGTGAAGAATAGGATCAGATATTATTATGTTAAAAAAATCTGTTCATATTTGTATGTCTAGTTCATGATACAGAACTTGGATTATACATTTCCAGGGAAAGGAGACAATAATAGAGTTTGTAATTTTAGAAAAAGTGCATGCAGTCAATGCCTGCACAAATAGTCTGGACAGGTATGCACTCTAATGCAGGTTAATAACCAGCTGAACACTTAATTGTTTGCATGTAGGTGCAGTACGTGCTGAAATATGCTGAAATGGTCTCTCTACTGCTAAAGTCCTGTACGATAATTTCAGAATTGTGCATGAAGTTATTCCTTGGCTTCAGTATCTCGCTCAAGTGGGCACTTAACTACAGACTTAAATGGGAACACCCTTTCACCTTCTTTCAGTTCTGTGGCAAAATCAAGTTAACTGATTCTCACTTTGTTGTACCAGTATCAAAAGAGACTTCCAAAATAATTTTCTTCATTTCAGGTTCCCTTAAAAACATTACAATATTTTATTTGATGACTGCTTTGCCCTTTGTCTTTTTTTAGTGCTAATAAATATATGAAAAGCAAGCAATTAAAATAACAAATCCTCAGCAATGGCAAGTACAACTGTGTATAGTTTTACTGACGTTTTCCAAAGAGAGGACAAATCAGTGATGACAGTAGAAGGAAATGAGGCATATGGCAGGATTTTTCGTGTGGCTTTAAAACCTGTCTGGACTCAGTTTGACAGTTTTTTCATTTAAAGCAAATATTTTTCACTATTTTTGTGACCAACATGCTTTCAGATACCTACATCCAACCTAAATAACTGGAGGACTTTTTTTTTTTTTAAAATGTAGTTTCCCTTTTAGAGCTATGTTTATTGACTTAGATTAGGACTGGACTAGAGCCCAGAGACAGTCATATCTAGTCTTCACATTTTTCGTTACAAATCAGTTTTCGTTACAAGGTTCAATAAATATTCTTGATTATTTATGTTAGTTCTATTGTGAGTTCTTGCCAAAGATACATTGTATTGTAACCAAAACAGATGTTCTGTTTTAGACAAGTGTATTTGTTTTAACAGGACCAGAAATGTAAATGATACAACAGTGTGTTCAGCATTAACATGGTAGATGATGAACTTTTAGGATTTCGTTGGCCTTTTTGGATTAAATGAAAATCTTGAAAAAATATTTCAGGAATTTCATTCTGTATTTTGATCACTGCAACTGTTTTTCTTTGATTGCTGTTGGTGGTAAACATCTTGGAAATGAAAGCTAGCTGAATGACAGGCAAACTGAGCTAGAGCAGGACAACACAAACAGCTCAATCATCATATCTGGAAAAATAAAATCACAATTTTTTTTTCAGCCTCAGTGATTTCATTGTCACAATACAAACATTCTTACTCGTCTGACTTTTTTTTTTATGTGCTTGTTAGATTAATGCACACTCAGAATAAAGTATTTCAGCTCATATTTAAATGAAAGGTTGATAGGTACATGAATTGTTAATAGTTTTCAACAAGCAATAAATGCAGCCAGGCAAGTGTATTTTTTTTGTTGTTGTTGATTTTTAGGTGGCTCGGTGTTTAATTTCTATTATACTTAGTTTTAAACTTGATACAAAATCCTTTTCTGCCACTTTCAGCAAAATCTTTTCTTGCTCTTGAGGGTTTATAAGCAACGTAATTAATAATTTACTGCTGTTTAAGTTCAAACGCTTCTGTACTGTGACAAATAGGGGAAAGTCTGTAATGTCTTGTAAAATTCTCATTGGGTTTTCTTTAATGTTTAAATTGTCTGCTTTAGAATACTTAGAAATGTTCTGCTAAGGTAGAATAGGACTGTTTAATACCTTTTGAAGTTGGACCTTGGTGGC